ACACAACTATTTGCTTTGTTCTTCACTTGGATTTTTACTTTAATGAGCATGTTGCATAACACAGATGTAATCTGATTAATTCTGATCCTATGCCTCATCTCTCCAAGGGAATCACATGTTCATCCACCTTTCCTTTCTCATACAGTTGTTTCTAGAGCAACACATGCATTACTATTACATTAATATATTGTCTTCTCATAGAACAGAAACCAAATTTCAGTAGCTCATGCATGGTTCAGAGCCCCATAAGCAGTGAACAACAGTGTCCAAACTTGCAAACTGGAAAGCTTTGCTAGAATTTTGTTCCTGATTTTTTTTCCTCAAGTACTATACATACCAACATAAAACACATATACAATCAAGGACATAAGTGTCTCCGGGCAGAAGAATCCAATGTTTTAACACAGCAATGCATCTTGACATTTTTATTAACTGACCAAATCTTATAGCATAATTTACTATATTGTTATTACAATAATGAGAGCAGAGTTTTAACTGTTCTCTACAAAACCAAAGACACATCACCATACACTGGATGTCTACAGTGCCTAATCTAAGCTCAACATCCCTGTATATTCAATGCAGCTGGAGAAAGAAGCACCTCCAGAAGTGGAGGTGTGCAAGACTAGATCCCTCCTTAAGGAAACAGCTACATCAGGAAAGATACTACTTGATCCCTGGTTAGTCATTTCATCTCTGAGACTGCCCTCATTGGAATCTGACATTGCCACAATACTGAAACAGAGATCAATCCTCTGTAATGACCAGGTCTGCTCTATGAATCATAATATATATGTATAGGCAAACCAAGCTAAAATATATCCACTGATTTATTGTCATTTGCAAAGTTGGATTTTAAGATCTGTGATGTTTGCCAGGACCCAGCAGAGGAATCACATGCAGGTCCAAATAGAGCACTTGAGTCAAAGGAAGAAACACACTCCCCTAGTTTTTATTTCAGGAGCTTTACTAGTTATGGTAGTAGCATAGCAAGACTGATTTTCAAAGTTCTCTTGTAACAGCAAACTTTCTCCTTCAAAGAAAAAAAAAAAGAGAGAGAGACATCCTGGATTTAAAATACATCACAAATTTATTTCTTCATTGTATTAATAAAGGAACACAAAAATACACAAAATCTGGAGCTATTAAATTCCACGCTATAGCTGTAAAATAACACTTCTGCATTTTTCTCCAGGTTATCTGCAAAAAAGAAATGTCATTTTCCCATCTATCTTCTCTTTAATTGTTCATAATTGCTATGCATAAACCTGGGAGATTTTTCCATAAAAGAAAGTAAAAAATAAATGCCAAAGAAACATAAAAACTTCATTAAAAACTATTGAAATTGCTACCCCCTAATGATTATTGTTATGAAAAATTGAGTGATATTTTATAGTTTAACACCCGTCTCTTACAATGACTTTATTAGGATAAGGCATAATTTGGAATTTTCCTACATTTTCACGTGGGTCATAATAGTGCTTAAGTGTAGACTGTTGCATTCCTAGCAACCAGCAGAAAAGCAAATTAGTTTATAATCACTCCTACAGATCTGTTCTAAAGATATATTTTTAGGAGAGCTTTTCTAGCAGCCAAAAATAGTCTGATTAGTGGGACTTTTTACTTTTTTTCCCCCATACACCATTATTTAGTATGACAGTTTTAAATGGGATTAATCACAGGATTTATTGCATATCTAGGTTCAAAATGTTCATTAGGCTAATTTGTATTTGAAAATAGAAACAAGAACTGGAGTTGAAAAATATATTTTCTTCAGCAAAATCATTATTTTAAAAAATACTTTCAGTAATTACTGTTACTAGTGTCCTATTTTCTAAACAGACTAGCATTGTTTGTTTCAGAAAGACGAAAAAATAATGAGACTAAAATATTGCCTGTGACAAAATAAACCACAGGTACTGCAAAAATAAGAGTATTATTTCCATATGCCATTCAGAGTATTCTAATTCACTCACTTTCTCACTTTCAGAAAAAAAGTACCAAAAACATAAGTTCTAAAGGCCTTTAACACAAAACTTGTGTGCATCCTATCAGTGGAGGTTTTAGTCCAAAATAATTAAAATATTTTTGTGCTTTGCCATTTCCAAAAATATCTGACTTATTCTGAACATTTTTTGATACTTCTACAACTAAGAAATGGCTGTTCTAGAGTATGGCATTTTTATAGGGAACAATATACGGTGCTCCTTTTAGTTTGGTTTTTTTTTGGGGGGGGGGGTTGAGTTTTTTTTAAAGAAAATTTAAAATTATGTCAGTTTTACAATTGTTTCTTTTTCTCTAGCACTTGGAGAAAAGTACCGAACAATTTACTTTATTGCACACTTATGAAGTAAAATATACCTAGCCCCGCTCTGGTGACTATGCTCTTTTCTTCAGTCATGTTCCTCTTTACAAGCTGATTTTCAGAGTAAACCCACAAAAACCTAATGACAACGATGTTGAGACAGAAGAAGGGTGGAAAATGCCTTCTGTCCTTAAATGTCTTTGCGGAAAATGCATCTTGCCATTTTCAGGGCAAAAATTTAAAAGTCATGAAAGTCATAAGATAAGACCACTGAGCCCTGTGTAATGGGGTTCCTCTTAATTCCCCACTTTTTAGCTACTTGTATCCAATCCATCTGCTAATATTAGGCTGAGGGCCTGAGTGCACTTCATTCCTGCAATCCTCCAGCAGACACTTGCAGTGATGATCATCTAAAGTACACTATGAGCAGGAGTGGCCTAAGGAGGGTGAAAGGTTAATTCTTCTCTCAGATGTTTCCAGGGCACAACCTCTGCAGGATGTCCTTTGTCTCCTGCAACACACCGCTCTAGCATACAATGTTTTGTTCCAATGAATGACAAAATATGGACCATTTACTTCTCATAATTGAGATTTTCTGGATTTTCACAGCTTTTAAAAACATAGACATAGGAAACAGCATTTTAACTCTCCTAAGACAATTTTTAACCAAAAGTAGCAGGAAAAAAAGAGATTTACACAGCTTTCATATGCACAGTGTACAGCAGTGCAACAAAACAGCACAAAATTACTCTTTCTCCTTCCTTATTTAAACTTCTATCTTCTTTCAGATATAGTCATTTTTACTCCTAATATCTGCGGCAGATATTCTGGGGTGAATGAGGCAATTAAGAATCCAAAATTCCCATTTCTTCCAGATGTTTCTTTTCTCAATATTCGCTCACTGGATACATATTTACTTTCCACTCTGCAGCGTGTAGTACTTAGCACACCTTCTGGGTTCCATTTCACAACATTTCCACAGTTAATCTGACACATGTCAATGCATCTTAGATGAAAGTTTAGCATCAGTAATATTTTTTTTTCTATCAGTAACATATTTACATAATAGAGCAAAATTGAACTAAGTTTTAAATAAGTATTTTACTTCAGAAATATCTACATTATGTTTTTCACAGGTACAATACTTTCTGCTATCTTTCTGATTTTTAAAACTAAACTCTGGTTTTCCTGTCTTTCAGCTCACTGAAGGAATCTAATGGTTTTGGTCTTTTCTGTGATCAGTTCTATTCACTGAGATTGAACTACAGGCTGAAGCGGTTTGTCCTTGCTCCCCACTCATCACATACACAGCCTTGGGTTCAAAACCTGGCTCCAGAACTATTCTGACCTTCTCAATAATTCAGACATCTTCCTCTCATACACATTTCTGGAGCATAAACTCAGCTGAAGCAATTCTCATAACTTGCACCTTAAAATACAATGGCACAATGCACCCAAGATTTGTGTTGGTCTTAACAGAATACTTTTATTGTGTATGTCCTTTCTGCAGCTCTGCATTCACCTGAAATAACCCACACATTCAGGTTTATGCTTTAGTCATTCAAAGGCACTTGATACTGAAGCCAGAAGTTTTTTTGCAGAAAGAATTCTAAGTCTACTGCATTTACTTGAGAACAATTTGAGTACAAGAGTTATACAAATCTATGGGGAAAAAAGAACAAGACAGACTTGGCAGCTCCTGCCTCAGCCTCCTCATCATTACAGACAGAATTCTTGCTCAGCCTGGTAAAAGAGAGCTGCACAAGGCAGACTGCTCTTTTATGATTCTGCTGCTTTCTGTCATCTGAACCCCCAAGCCAGCCCCTTTCCATGTATGCCACGACTTTACTTCCATTTGAGTAGAGAAACGGGTTTTTCCTGGCCACAGTTAAATGGTACTTTCACACTCCCAAAAGGAAGGTCAGAATTTCACTATTATTTCTTTGCAAATTTAACAG